AGAGTAAACCTGAACATTTTATTTTGTCTCAATTAACCCTTTAATTGTATGGTGCCCCCCCTCTCCTAGTTGTACAACCTGAACATTTTATTTGGTTTCAATTAACCCTTTAATTGCATGGTGCCCCCACAATACAAATATATATGTGTGCGAAGCTTTATAATAAAGATAATCCGATTGACAGTTTGCTTTAAATGTGACTTTATGAAAAATAGAAGGAAATTGAAAGAATTTTTCAATTTATTTAAAAAGTATAAAAATAACGATATCTTTTACATTGATGCAGTGCATTGATAAAAGTTTAAAGGGTACCGTTGTAAAGCGGCAGGTATTAACGATCTTCCATTCCTCTCTCATGTTTATTCAGCTCTTTCAGGGATTTTTCAACATTAGTGAATTTGGGAGCTAGTAGGTTATAAAAAAATATTCTTTTGACACATATTTGCAGAAATTTCAAATTCAAATATGTCTTTTTCAAATATCAAAGTTTGTAAAAACCTAAATTTGTTAATTTGAATTCTGACCTTTCCCGCCAACTCGTTGAGATGTATCCAGAGTTTATCTGCGCTCTCCTCAATAGTATCAAAGAATGCTTGGTTATCAAAACATCCATCCTCTGAATTAAAATATCGTATAAATTAAGTACTTACAAGGCATAGGGGCGTAATATCATAGGTTCTACTGAAAGCAAAGACTGAGATAAATATATCCCGGAACTGGAGTAGGTTTCAAGCAAGGACTGAGATGAATATAAACCTGGAACTGGAGTAGGTTTCAAGTCAGGTCAGAGATGAATATAACCTGGAACTGGAGTAGGTTTCAAGCAAAGACTGAGATGAATGTAAACTAGAACTGGAGTAGGTTTTTAAGCAAAGACTGAGGTGAATATAACCTAGAACTGGAGTAAGTTTCAAGCAAGGACTGAGATGAATATAACCTAGAACTGGAGTAGGTTTCAAGCAAGGACTGAGATGAATATAACCTGGAACTGGAGTTGGTTTCAAGCAAGGACTGAGATAAATATAACCTGGAACTGGAGTAGGTTTCATGCAAGGACTGAGATGAATATAACCTGGAACTGAAGTAGGTTTCAAGCAAGAACTGAGATGAATATAACCTGGAACTGGAGTAGGTTTCAAGCAAGGACTAAGATGAAAATAACCTAGAACTGGAGTAGGTTTCAAGCAAGGACTGAGATGAATAAAACCTGGAACTGGAGTAGGTTTCAAGCAAGGACTGAGATGAATATAACCTGGAACTGGAGTAGGTTTCAAGCAAGGACTGAGATGAATATAACCTGGAACTGGAGTAGGTTTCAAGCAAGAACTGAGATGATTATAACCTGGAACTGGAGTAGGTTTCAAGCAAGAACTGAGATGAATATAACCTGGAACTGGAGTAGGTTTCAAGCAAGAACTGAGATTAATATAACCTGGAACTGGAGTAGGTTTCAAGCAAGGACTGAGATGAATATAACCTGGAACTGGAGTAGGTTTCAAGCAAGGACTGAGATTAATGTAACCTGGAACTGGAGTAGGTTTCAAGGAAGAACTGAGATTAATGTAACCTGGAACTGGAGTAGGTTTCAAGCAAGGACTGAGATTAATATAACCTGGAACTGGAGTAGGTTTCAAGGAAGAACTGAGATTAATGTAACCTGGAACTGGAGTAGGTTTCAAGCAAGGACTAAGATCTCCGTAAACTGCGCCTGGAGTTTCCTCAATCCTCATCTTCGACACCAATTCTCCCTCCTTCTCCCTCCAAACCTGGATTAACAAGAATATGAAGAAAAACAAATCATTTTCTTCAATTTTATTTAACAGAACCCATAACTTTGTTAAAAAATCACAACCTAGAACGAGAGGAAGACATTTTTTCTGTAGTAACAGATTTAAGAAAGTACTGAAATTGTATGCGTTGTTGTACAATGTACAAACCTTAAAAAACTTGTGTATATTTTCCAAATATTTCTTAAAATCAACTTATCAGATATAAAAGGATATCTGTTAACTTCCTTGCGCCTATCTTGTAGATGAAGAGATCTTCGTATGCTTTCTCATTACTAACATTAAACCTTTATCATAGGTTTAAAGATTTTTTATTTTAATTAAAATTACCTTTTCCCATTTCTCTAGAACGTTCCCAACAGCCTTGGTTACAAGTCCAGGGTTGTCTAGATGCCCTCCATGGTGTGAAGAACAAATACGGAGTAAGCCCAGCACTCCGGAGCTATCAAATTCCGTTCTCTCCTCCTATATTAAATAATTAGGCGTAAACCCAGCATTCCGGAGCTATCAAACTCCGTTCTCTCCTCCTATATTAAATAATACGGAGTAAAGCCAGTACTCCGGAGTTATTAAACTCCGTTCTCTCCTCCTATATAAAATAAAACGGAGTAAAGCCAGTACTCCGGAGTTATCAAACTCCGTTCTCTCCTCCTATATTAAATAATACGGAGTAAACCCAGTACTCCGGAGTTATCAAACTCCGTTCTCTCCTCCTATATTAAGTAATACGGAGTAAACCCAGCACTCCGGAGCTATCAAACTCTGCTTTCTCCTCCTATATTAAATAATACGGAGTAAATCCAGTACTCCGGAGCTATCAAACTCCGTTCTCTCCTCCTATATTAAATAATACGGAGTAAACCCAGTACTTTGGACTCTCAAACTACATTCACCCCTCCTTGTTTTTACTAGACAGAGTAAAACCCAATGCACCAAAGCTATCAAACTCAGTTCTCTCCTCCTATATTAAATAATACAGAGAAAACCCAATACTCCGGAGCTATCAAACTCTTTTTTCTCGTCCTAGATTAAATAATACGGAGTAAACCCAGTACTCTGGAGCTATCAAACTCAGTTCTCTCCTCCTATATTAAATAATTCGTAGTAAACCCGGTACTCCGGAGCTATCAAACTCTGTTTTCTCCTCCTAGATTATATAATATGGAGTAAACCCAGTACTCCGAAGCTATCAAACTCCGTTATCTCCTCCTATATTAAATAATACGGAGTAAACCCAGTACTCCGGAGCTATCAAACTCAGTTCTCTCCTCCTAGAGTAAATAATACAGAGAAAACCCAGTACTCTGGAGCTATCAAACTCAATTCTCTCCTCCTAGATTGAATAAGACGGAGTAAACCCAATACTCCGGAGCTATCTAGCTCAGTTCTCTCCTCCTATATTATATAATACGGAGTAAACCCAATACTCTGGAGCTATCTAGCTCAGTTCTCTCCTCCTAGAGTAAATAATACAGAGAAAACTCAGTACTCCGGAGCTATCTTGCTCAGTTCTTTCCTTCTAGATTGAATAAGACGGAGTAAACCCAGCACGCCGGATCTATCTAACTCTGTTCTCTCCTCCTAGATTATGTAATACGGAGTAAACCCAGTACTCCGGAGCTATCTAGCTCAGTTCTCTCCTACTAGATTATATAATACGGAGTAAACCCAATACTCTGGAGCTATCTAGCTCAGTTCTCTCCTCCTAGAGTAAAAAATACAGAGAAAACCCAGTACTCCGGAGCTATCTTGCTCAGTTCTCTCCTCCTAGATTGAATAAGACAGAGTAAACCCAGCACGCCGGAGCTATCTAACTCTGTTCTCTCCTTCTTGAGTATAAAACATGGAGCTATATAACCCTATTCTATCCTCCATTATATAATCCTACAGGGGTTTATATTTCATATTCAAAAACCTATAAAAAACACCTATGTTTTAGAGGTTTTTTCTTATTTCATGGAATACTTGAAAAGAGTATTTGAAAATCTTTTATTTTATTTTTAAATTTCAATTATAAAACCCTTTGCGTGATATGATGGTAAAATAAATACAAGTTGCAAATATAAAATTTTAATTTTTTATGATGAATAGAATACCTTTTTTACAAAAGTTCATGTTTTACTTGAAATGAGTAAAATAATTTTGTATCATTAATAATTTTGTTACCTTTAAGATCTGACCGCTGTAGTCGTTGATCCCCTGGAAAAAATTTATTTTTATGATTTTTACTAAATTTTTTGAACATGAAGATGTCATATTTCATTTTAAGAGCTAGATTCTTAGTTTGCACATTAATTTCTAAAAGTCATAATCATAGTAAAAACTTGAAATTTCAATTAATTCCTGGTTAGGAATATAGGAGAATCTAAAAGGAAATGCGTTTTTGTCGCAAACTCTAATTTTGCAGTACCTATATCTCTGGAACCCGATGTCGTAGACTTTACATATTTTAAACTGTGAAATCAGTTAGATCACATAGCCTAACTTTGAAATATCGATGGTTTACATCATTACAAAATTTGAGTTTGTGGCAAAAACTTAATTCCTTTAAGATTAATTAGGTTTTTTTGTTGCATTTTCTCGAAATTTGTGGTCGATAAACAAAAATAAAATGGGACACTTAAAAAAAATAGCTTAGGCCTTTCTTCTTGGCCTGTACAAGACAGTTGTTGAAAAGTTTTGAATGTGTTCTTCCATAAACAATATTGGATATCAAAGACTTTTTGCAGTTTTTTTTTGTTCAAAATCTTTTAATTGAATATACTTTACTTTGAAATCAATTTTACTAAAATATAAATTTCATGTGATAGTTTTTATTATGTTTTTGATATCCAATAATTTCACACTTACAATCTTACAATTTCTTACATTCCTAGCATTGTGTTCAAAATTGTTAAAGACATCTTAGGGATCTATCCTATAAAATATCTTACATTCCTAGCATTATGTTCAAAATTGTTAAAAACATCTTAGGGATCTATCCTACAATATCATACATTCCTAGCATTATGTTCAAAATTGTTAAAAAACATCTTAGGGATCTATCCTACAATATCTTACATTCCTAGCATTGTGTTCAAAATTTTTAAAGGCATCTTGTGGATCTATCCTACAAAATATCTTACATTCCTATCATTATGTTCAAAATTATTAAAAACAATCTTAGGGATCTATCCTACAATATCTTACATTCCTAGCATTATGTTCAAAATTGTTAAAAAACATCTTAGGGATCTATCCTACAATATCTTACATTCCTATCATTATGTTCAAAATTATTAAAAACAATCTTAGGGATCTATCCTACAATATCTTACATTCCTAGCATTATGTTCAAAATTGTCAAAAGAACGTTAGGGATTTTTACAATTTCTAAAATTTCATTTCCTAAAATTTTATTCATTACATCGAACAAATTTTTTGCAAATTCTAAAAGCTTGTGATCAATATTACAGTTTGATTAAAAATGAAAACCTGAAGATTAATAATCTCCCCGTCTGTAGAGCTGGCAACCTTACTCCCCTCCTCACCTCCCTCAACATAAATTTTTATATTATTATTTCATTTTTATTTTATTTGTAAGATTGAAAACAGAGATTCCAGTTTAAAACCCAATTGAAAAAACCTTTTAAAAACTTAATGTTTCGTTCATACTTCGCTGTCTAGCAAAGTTAAAATATTGATGAAACAAAAACGTTAGTAATTTTGATGATAATACTGACAATAATAATGATGATAATAATAATAATAATAATGATAATAATAATAATAATAATAATAATAATAATAATAATAATAATAATAATAATAATAATAATAATAATAATAATAATAATAATAATAATAATAATAATAATAATAATAATAATAATAATAATAATAATAATAATAATAATAATAATAATCATAAAAATAATAATAATAAAAAAAATTAAAAAATTAAACTAGTATCACTAAAATAAGAACATAGATATAAATATTGATAAAACTATCAAGATGTATTGCATGATGGGGTTTACCTGGTTTAGATAGGTAGTATTAAACACACGTAATTGTCGAGCTAGGCGTCGGCCATCCATAATCTCTAAAACAGTAATTCGAAAGATTTTCAAAATAATATTAGAAAATCATAAGAACTGATCATTCATCACAAACTCTTATTTTCAAAACCTTTTATCTTTGCAATCTGACGTTGAACACCTTTGATTTGTCAAACTATGATTGTTTGATGTAACAGCATTTATAGTGTGAAATATCACAGACTTGTCACATGGAAAGATATAGGGATAATAAAATTAAAGTTTGTTGGTGTTAAGTATCAGAAAATATGAATATCATAAATTAGCTTCATATTTATTTATCCATTTTAAGATTGAGGGCTGGAAAGGTAACAATCTAATGATTAACAAAACTTATATTTTTTCTCCTCAAAACTCAATCTATACACTGATAATTACGCTCCGAATGTTTTGTGGACAGAAATGGTCTTCACTCCTGTATGCCGAGGTCATCAGCGCCTGCTCCAATCATGGTTCAGTCATTTGTTTGATGTCTATTCTGAACCAATAGAAATAGTACGGCGGTTACATTTATCTTTTTATCTATCTCATTATCCAATTAGAGATATGAATCCTTCAATCGGCGCTATCAGTAAATGGAAATATTTACTTCTACTAAAACTATAGTGTCTTTGGAACTCTCGGTAAAGTAAAATTCCCTTGACTTCCCTAATCCCTGTAAAGTAGTTGTAAATAATTCCTAAAATATTGAATTTTAACACGTTGAAAACTGAATGCATGGCTATCCTGATCTGATTTTAACCCAGGACCCCTGAGTTGCCGTTGCTATCACACGGATCCAGACGGAATTGAAAAATTACATCAATTTACTTAAAACTGGGTCAGCTTCGAAGTGTAGCAACGCCTCGCTTTTGATTTTCCCCCTAATTTACATACACTTTTATATATCCTTACGCATGTAAATTTTAAAAATATAAATTGCTTATTTTAAACGTCTTATTTTAAGAAGTAATTGACGAAATTCACATAGATTTAGAGCTTAAACTAATGAATCACTTTCATTGTCTTTTGGTAAAAAAATCTTAGGAAAAAATCCAAAAATCATAAATATTTATAATTTAGGTAAATTTCATTCGGAACCAAGATCTCATGATTTCCACACAGCACGCAATCTTAAAATAAGATTCTGATTATCTCATATTATATTCTTCAAAGGGAGAGACCGGCTAGATAATGTAGTTGAACCGTGACTGCAGTATTAAAGAGAAAAGGCGTAAATGCGTTTGTAAAGTTTCATCATTCATTGTTGCTAAAAAATATTTTTCTCAAAAAATTGTTATGAAATCATGCAATGGTAAAATCAATTATATTTTTACTACCATTCTTTAAACATTTGTTTGCAGAGTTTTTAAATGTCGTCTTTGCAGTAATTAACAAATCACAGTGAATCCCAGATATATGAATACATAGACCGTCATAAGTTTTTTGATAATTCTAAAGAAACTTCTTTTTATCTTTAATTCAAGTTAAATTAATAGCCCTGCAATATTAATGCAATTGATATATTAATATTAAACTCATTTTTCCGCGGCATTCGATCTTAAATATGTAATGCGACATTATAAAGAACTCTGGCTATGCATTCACATATCTGGGATTCGCTGTAGTTTGTGGGAAAATTTTCATTTTGGGCTATTAAATAATTGTTTAAAATCGTTTCTTCTGCGTACCATGGTGAAATTGTATACAGTGAAAACGTTTCATTGGTACCAAATAAATCCTAAATTATAAATATAGGTATAATAATAATAAATCTCTATAAAACTGCAGTCTTGGTTTAAATATATTACCTAACCGGTCTCTCCCTTTTAACGCAATTCCTGCAGGAATATAATGAAAGGAACTGATAACTTTCCTTGAATTATAATTTTCTAATTCCTATTTCTTTGCAATGTGATGTTTTAAGTCTTAGATATTTCTTTAGAGTTTCAGAAATTATAACTTTTAAATTGATTCTTACCAAAAATAAAAAGTTAGAAGGCAAAATCAAAGGAATTGAGTCTTTGGAACAAAATCAAATATTTAAACCTCAATATCTTTAAAACTCGATGTTGTAAGCCTTTGATATTTCAAACTCAGATTATTTGATCTAACAGAATTCATAGTTTGAAATATCTAAGGTCTGCAACATTTCGTTCCAAAGATATAGTGATTAAAAAATCAGAGTTTGTGGCAAAGACTCAATTCCTTTTAAAACGTAGCTTTGAATCCTAAGAACCTTAAAATTCAAAGTATAAAATATTATATTATTCTGGCTGAATAATATAATGATGATATGATATGTTTTAGTTAATAATGTAACTGATAACATAATATTTACTATCAAATTATAATCCCTTCTCTCCTCTAAATAGTAGTGTTACAATTAGTTGTGTATTGATAGATAGATAGAGGTAGTTTTATCAATATTTTGAGACAGTTGCCGTGATAGAAAGTTAAACATATTACAGAGTCTGAATAGATGGATAGACAGATAGACACTATACCATGGTGAAAGGAAGTTAGAAAGGAAGAAACTATATTCTGAAACGAAACTAGAAAGATAAACACTCTACCCTGAAAGGAAGTTAAAAAAGATAGACACTCTGCCCTTAAGTAAAGTTAGAAAGCAAGATAGGAGAAGGAAGGAGAAGAAAGGAAAAGGAAGGGGAAGGAAAGAGAAGAAATGAGAAGAAAGGAGAAGGAAGGAAAAGGAAGGATCGAGAAGGAAGGATCGAGAAGGAAGGAGAAGGAAGGAGAAGGAAGAAGAATGAAGGTAAAGAAAAGAGAATGAAGAAGAAGGAAGAAGAAGGAAGGAGAAGGAAGGAGAAGGAAGGAGAAGGAAGAAGAAGGAAAGATCGAGAAGGAAGGAGAAGAAAGGAAAAGGAAGGAGAATTAAGGAGAAGGAAGGAGAAGGAAGGAGAAGGAAGGTTAATCTGGTTGTTGAGATTTAGGTATTATAAAATTGGCATTTGTGGCAAAAACTCAATTCCTTTGAGGTGTGAAATGGTTTGCTATAGTTCCAGATCTTGATATGTGTGGGTTCGATTGGGCTTTTAAGTATACAATTCATAAAATGGAACTTATTGCTTGCCGCAACCTAATGGTGTTAAATAAGACTAATTAGTCTAATAGAAATCATAGTTTGAAATATCAATGGTTTACGACAACGAAAAGAAAAGGTATGGGGGTTAAAAATTAAAGTTTTTAGCAAGAACTCAGTTCCTTTTTTATTAAAAAATAAGATATTTTAATGTCTTTTATTTCATGTGTGCTTTTTTTGCGTAAAATATATGTTTTTTTGGTCATTTTTAATTTTTCTTCTCACTCCCTTCTAAAGTCATATTATAGATAATTTTTCATTATTAATTATACTTCCAAAGTTTGATAAACTATAATCATACCATGTTGTATTCAATAATTTTGTATTAACACGCAGGCAAATATTTGTTTGTCAGGTTGTTTAAACAAACAGAGATGTGTATAAAGAAACCTTTTTCAAAGTACAGAGTCAAAACTATTTAAAAATTATTTTTGGTTTAAGAAAAGTTCCAAAACTTGTTAATTTATTTTTTCTGTTTGAAAAGCAATTTAATTTTTATTGTTATTTAATCAATAATATTAATATATTATTTAAAAATGATATGTTTATATTGTTCTCTATTAGTTGTCTGATTATTGGTATTGGTATTCTATAAACTGGTGGAGTCTCAACAAAACTTGATCCATTAACTTGAAGTTTATTTTATTCCTCAGTACATACAAGAGGGAGGGATTGTGAGTACATTTGCGTAAAGGAACTGAACACTCACGTACAACAAATTCAAATTTTCGAACTCCTATATCTTTGCAACCTGAGGTCGTAGGATTGGATTTTTTTAAACTATAGAATTCTTTTTGATCAAATGTAGTTTATCAGTTAGTAATCAAAGTTTATGGTGAATTATCAATTCGTGTGCACAATTTTCAACAAAATCTGAAACAGTTTTAACCATTAGTCTTGGGTTTCCAGCAAACTCAACCTTTTGCGAAAAAATGCAAAATTTTGTAAACTTTTTCGCAAAAATGAATTAAGCGAAAAAATGCAAATACGATGCTAAGTTTCGCAAAAATAATATTGCGAAAATATTTTCCTGAAAAAAAAAATTCTGCAGCAACAAATTTCGCAAAAAAAAGATTGAAACGAAATGCGAAAAAATGCGAAACCCTAACCATACGTTATAGAAATAGCTTTGAAACTTTTGTTAAGGTGTTTCGACAATATTATTAGAAATATGGCAAGAAATAAGAATAAGGAAATTAGATCTTTTTGGGGTCAAGAAACTGCGTTTTTGGGGTCAAGAAACTGCGTTTTTGCCACAAACTCAAATTTTATAATTCCTCTATCTGTGCAAGCTAATTGCGTAAAGCTTTAATATTTCATTCATAGATTATTAAATCTAACATCATTTATAGTTTTAAATGGCAAAGGTCTACGACATTAGGTTTGCAAAGATGTAGCGATTAGGAAACTCAGTTTCTTTTTATTTTTTGTTTATCACAACTCTACAGTCTACAGTCTACAGTCTACAGTCTACAGTCTACAGTCTACAGTATGATTCAATTTTGTATAATTTTTTATTTAAGCTTCTTGGGTATTTAAAAAGAAAATTCCAATTTTCTCTCTGAATGATCATCTTAGGACGGAGGAATGGAATTCTAAGAAACGGCGACGAAAGATATAACAAGTTTTCAAGTGTGCTGTCCTGTAAATATTTGATCTCAAAGTTTCTGGATTTAGAAGAATGGAAGGATTCAACTTTAGCAGACAAATTGTTTCTAGAATTTAATTCAATTCATTTCACTTTAACAAATGTTTCCTGCAACTGACAGTGTGTATAAAAATAAAAAGTACAAATTTGTAAGTTTTTTTTGCGTTTCCCAATTTAAATAGAAATATGTTTTATTAGTAAAAAGTGAGTTAAATTAAATATATTTCATGGTAAAGTTAAAAAATATCGTTTTTTTTTTTTTTTGGATGA